CTGCGTTAATATTTTGCTGTTTTAATTCAACGTTGTGATCCAAATTTAGTCTCCAGTTATTACAGAATAAAATAATTTTAAAAATATTGCAATTTTTATTTCTAGTTTGAAAGTGCTGTAAGGTAACCGCACCGGTAGTGGACACTTTAAGGAAAATTTTTCGACTTTTTTGAAACTGGACCCCTATTTGGAAGCTTTATAGCTTAAAAGTTATATTGTCTGTTAGACAAAATCTTTCTTCACTCACTGTAAGGATTTTAATTATGTCAGTCTCGTCGAATACATTTTAATTTAATTTATTTTGTAAGGTTGAAAATGTTTCAGTAGTGGACATTGAAAAAATTGAGATATTTAGTAATGGACAGGCATTTGCACCAGTAGTGGACAAGAAATATAGAAATGATTATATTCAAGATGAAATCGTTTTTATTTTTCACAACTTGCAGAATTTGACAGTTTCTACTATAAAGAACAAGAGCACTGTGTTAATTATAATGACAACTCATAATTAAATTAAATTAATGAAAATATCACATTGTACAAATGTAAATTACATGTGTATAGTTTGTAATGTTTATATGAAAATTGAACTAATAAGTATTATGAAACAAATATAAAACATTACAAAGTTAGTATAAGAAACTTTCTTATTTTGTTATTGTTACATTATTCTTAACGAATACAAATGTTGAAATAAATGAGATCAGTTTTAACATACTGGAATGGATTATTGTTACACTCAATATTAAACACTTATAAATAATAGTATAAAACTGGGTTCTAAGTTACATTTAGATCTCAAATATTAACGTCAGCATAGTTTAAGGAAATATTGTTGCATTGTTAATTTGTGTTGAACTACTTATCTATGTCAATGCCTTTCGAGAATTGACAGTGACTCTCTCTTCCAATAATTAGAGGCTTAGAAAGCCTCAAGTCAATTTAAGAAATATTTATCGTTTGTACATCTTTTTCATTTTTAGCAAATACGCTTTTTATTCTATTTATGAAATTAAACACAATCACTTCTGCGATATTATCACTGATTAAACTGGTAATTTTGCACACACATTTGTATTTTCTTTTCTTACCAGACAAGGTGACAACTACAAAATCATTCTCATGCAGGATGTTTGATTCCCTTTCCTTTTCAATGGTATTCCGACTGTGTCTTTCGGACATATCCTTCCTCCGAGTCCAATTTAAAGTCCCTTCAATACTTTCTCCCCTTTCTTCTGTATCTTTCGATTCCTTAATTGCTGAACTTGGTCCAATAGTTTCGTTTGAAGGGGGTTCAATAAAAATAATTTAAAATAAATGCTTTTATTTGAGAAATATAGCTGTAAGGATTGTTATTCTTTCGTTTAACAAGGCCTTAAATTTCACACGTGAAGTCTACATTGTTTACAAACTGGTTGACCTTGAGAACAGCTGGAGTCCGCTTTCCCGGGTAGTTCTCATATGCTTCAGGGGAATATTGGTATAAACTCTAAAGCAAGAGGGGAGCTATCTTACCGCATCTGTTCAAATATAACACAATATTGTCGATTTTAATGCTATTAAATTATAAGGGAACCGAAAAAATGCATGGGGAAAAATTCTATTGAACAGAAAACAATGCTGATTTCATAAAAAACATCCAATAGCGTTTTAAAAAATTTTACCGATGTCAAATCGGTCAAATAGAAGTTTAGAACTATTTAATTAATTTGATTAAAAAACTCCCATAAAAAACAATAGCGCGATTAATTACCTAATTAATAAATCGTCATAAAATATTTTCGCGGCAAAAATAATTCATTGAATTTGCACAGATCATAGATAACGATGTATATATGCTGATCCATACATTTTCGGAAAAGTTATAAGTCAACGCTTTTTTTCATGGACCCTTAAAGTCCATGCCCGAGTTAACCGCATGTTTTGTCCACTATTGAAACACCTCATTTCAATAAACGGACATTCACGGTTTAATAGTGAACACTCCCTGTCCATGACTAGACAGAGTAACCAAAAAATGCTTGAATCAATACTGTATGTTACTTAACATTAGGTGATTTAATTTTTGACTTGATACTGATTAAAAGTGAAAAGTTCATTTTCACTAGTTGTGGCCACCTCTTGTCCACTACTAAAAATATACGATATTTTTGTTTCATTAGTGGACATCTCATTCAATTGACTTGGAAAATAAAAATACTATCAGGAAGGTCTTAAAACATACCAACGAAGCTCATATTAATAGTATATCACCAAAAAACTTCCGTGAAACTAACTGTTAATACAGCAAGCGTGATTTAAATTACCTAGACCTTAAGGAAACAGACAGCAGACTCACTTGTCTTCTTATATCAGCAGGAATGCCATCACTAATGAGCGC